GCAGCTGTTTGTTTGTGATATTGGTGTTCGACAGGGATATTGTCTCAGTCCTTCTTACTCTCCATGTTTATATATAAATTCGCGAAAGAAATAGAGACTGAACAAAAGGACATTCTGGAATATCTGATACATCGTCACGATTGTATGACAGTATTTTACACATGCTATGCAAAATCTCTTCCGCTCAAATGTTTATTCCACTGAAACGAGAGCCAGACGATGATTTTGACGGAATAGGTCTCTCGTTCGGAATAGCCCGGGTTAACCTTTTCAAGGTTGCATGATTAGAAAAAAACATTCCGTCTGTCATTTCCTGATCTGGTAGGCGACGCTCTGATTGGTCGTATGAAATGTGGTTCTGACGTGACCCGTAATGGGATGTCCTCGGATCTTTGTATAGCGGTAGCGAGAACTAAGATCTGATTTAAATGAGATTGTGGTGTGACAAACCTAGAAACAAAATCGGGATTCAAACCAATCGTCATAGGTTTCTGGCGTGCCCAAGGGACTTAACCCTGAACAGCAATCGAATCCCAACGCCACCTTCTAGTAATGATCTCCCCCATAAAGATCCGGGCTAGTATTGTTCTTAACCAACCCATGCTTGCAGAAAGAGGCGTCAAGCGGGATCGGGTGGTCAGGCTCGTTGACGTGGTTGATGTATGTCATCGTTTCATTGATCGATGCTCATGATATCAATCACCGCATTGTCAAGTCCAGACTCGATTATTTACCGACATAAAACAAGAAACAAACAAACAAGAAAAACTTTGAAGAATTTTATGAGATTGGTACTTCCTGACACCACAAGTCATGGAATATAAGTCATGATGTATTTGCAAAGAATTTCAATTAAGATACCAGAGTCTAATAGACCCTTTGGAATATTGGATTAAGCTTTCAGTGAATATCTTATTTGCATCGTTATTTACTATTCAATAGCCAAATAAAGGAAATCTTGTCGAGGCAGGGAATGCTCATCATCGATGTTCATCCGGGAAGTACCGTTTAAATACTAATTTGCTTCGTTGAACGGGGTCATGTGCGTTCAATAGAAAACCAGAAAAACAGTCTGCTGTGGAATGACGTACACGTAATCACCATCTTAACGACAATTTTATTATTCTATATGTCAAAATGTTCTGAAATTCTAAGCTGCAACATTGATGTTGACCTTGCAGAGAAAGTAGGAGACTTTGGACAAGGCAGGGTTTATTCACGATCCGGTTCAATATGACTTGGCTTCCAGATGCTTCAGTAAAACAGACTCTTTTAACTTGACGTCTTTGGACACTTGCAACCGAGTCGACAAGACACGAAACTCTTCTTGTAGCATAAGGGATAGCCAGTGCAAGTACTTCTGAAGCCTGTTCTGTATTTGTATGACAAATGGATATGTCGTGGATGTTTTCTTCAATATTTCACATTGGCCAAGTTGGAATTGATAATATACTGAACAACAAAAGTTCCTGTGACATTGAATAAGATTCAATGCAAAGTTATGTTTTTTACCAAATCTGAAACAATTTCGGTTTGCAACAGAAAAAAGTCTCCTGTAAGTGTTCAAATGGTTTAATTTGCCCAACTGGCTTCAGAAAATGCGTAATAAAAACATGAACATGCCAAAATGTCAATTTACAAATCAGTAGCGTGTGTGTCCACTTCTGGTTGCGATGCAAGCAACACATCTTTGTCTCATGGAATGAACCAGGCGTCGCACAAAGTCCTATGGGATATCTGTCCATATCTGCTGGAGCATGTTTCGAAGTTCCTGGAGTGTCTGTGGAACACGTGGTTGACGTCGAAGGCGCCGATCCATCTCATCCCACATGTGCTCGATTGGTGAGAGATCAGGGGAGCGAGCCCGCCAGGGGATGACATTCACGTTGTTTTGTTGAAGAGAATCCTGAACAAGTCGAGCAATATGAGGCCGGGCGTTGTCATGTTGAAAGGTAATGCCTGGGCCATCACGACGCAAAACCGGTAGAACAACAGGGCCGATGATCTCGTCGCGTTAGCGCTGTCCATTGAGATTTCCCTCTACCATTATCAAACGGTTCCTCTGTCTTGCTGTAATCCCACCCCATACCATAATGCTGCCGCCCCCGAACCGATCTTCTTCCATGACACAATGATTGACGTAACGTTCACCTCGACGTCGGTACACTCGAATCCGTCCATCGCTGTGGCTGAGGTGACACTCTAGGAGACTCGTCAGTGAATAGAACTTGTCCCCACTGCATGGCCGTCTAGCGTAGACGTTGTCTGCACAACTGTAGACGTGCTTGACGGTGGTTTCCTGTCAAAATGGGACGTCTGGCGGGTCTTCTGGCAAAAATCCCTGCACATCTGAGGCGACGACGTAAGATATTCGTCGAAGGCCAGGGATGCTTCTTACAGTCACTGTTGCTGGCTGGAATCGATTTCGTAGGTGTGTTCGAATCCAGTTGTCTTGTCGATTATAGGTTACGCGTGGCCTGCCACTCCGAGGATGGTCTCTGACTGCATTCGTCTGTTGCTAATGTTGCCATAAACACCAAATGGTGTTTCTGTGGACGTTAAATTGTCTTGCAACATCACGTTGACTCGATCCTGCTTCAAGCATACCAATGGCTCGCAGACGCTCATTTTCGGACAGGCGTGGCATTCCGTAATGTTGAATAATTGCGTAATTTTGTTGTTTTTCTGAGTGGTTGTTGTCAGCACGATGCTTAACAATGCATATGGAATCCCGTTAACGCACATGTTTTTATACCCATTCTTGGGTAGTGAAATGCATGGGGCTTGCATAAAAGTAAACTTTTGCATGGAATGCATGCTTTTCTGTAGCAGTTGCGTTTTTTGACTTGATTCCATACATGTACTACAATACTGAAAACCAAACTTTACTTGTTTGAAAAATACACTAAAATATTGGTGTCACAGGAACTTTTGTTGTTGAGTATATGTAACAATCGATTGCATGATTCAAAAGTGAATATTATTAATCACATGTGCAATTTAATAACACTTGATGAATGACAAGTGTTTTATATTATTTCTAACTGAGCTGATATACAGATGTGGAACACAAAAATTCAAGACCTGTTCAAGGCTTTCAACTTTTTTTAAATCCTGTACACTACTTATTAGTCAAACGACCTAAAAAGCAGTATGAGCCGTATTAATAGTTTTAGTACATGTACATTTTGTAGTAATTCGTGAATGTTTAAAGCTATTTTGGTGATTTTCAAGGCTTTTCAATGTTATGACTAAAAGAGAGAGAGAGAGGGGGGGGGGGGGGGGGGGGGGGGGGGGGGAGGGGGGCTCAAAACACCGTATTCATGCTCTAATGTACACAATGCACCACTGTGATGATATAGTAGGTCACCGCAGTCGCCCGTGACGTGATGTCAGACAAGACACTTTCCTTGTTGGGGTTATGTCTAGACGGTACACTACAATGTCCATTATGCTAAATTACCTTTACTTCGGTGATCATAACGTGACTTAATTTTGTTCTTTCATCTTCAAATTCCCGACGACAATAAATACACCAGTTTAAAACCATATTTAACAAAGCTTCCATGTAAAATTAGTATAATCAAATCTACAGGTAACATACAATTTACCTCCATACTGAAAAGCAGTATGCGTAGCTTCATTCTATTCTACCTTGACAATGTGAAACGCGAACTATTGGATGTCAAATAATGAGTGAAGCAGAACAGGTGGATTCCAATGTTTTGAGCGGCTGTCAAATGAGGACGTATCTCTCATAAACATTAAACAGCGGCGTGCCTTTATATGCTCAAGTTCTGCTGTTTGCAACGATGTAGTTTACTCGCATATATCAAATGTATAGAAAGTGTATACAACAGCGACTCTCGTAAACAAACATTAAGCGGTCAACCCTAACGAAATGAAGGTACATGCAAAGCTATTACCAATTCACACAACGTTTCAGCTTTCTAGGCCTTGCATATCTTGAGAATACACATGTGATGTAATTTCTTAAAAATAAAGATAGATTCACCATTCTGAACAAACATCTGATGTCTCCATTAGAAGGAACGTTCAGATTTCAGCTCTCACAAGTCCAAAAAACATTTCTATCAGTGATGCGTTCAATCTGGAAATATCCCCCACATGTCTACATAAAACATTTCGAAAGCTTTGCTGAAGCCTTTAAGCACGTGGTCAAAATAAATATGTCAAATCAAAGTCAATAGTAAACGTATTGCAAACACGGAACATACGACATGCTGCGAGAGCTTTACTCATAGTTGTTAGAGCTTTACAGAAGGCTGTTTGTGATGTTTACATTGTAGGGTATTTCAGTGAAGGATCCGGGTATGCATATCTCGTTACACAACAGGTACAAACCAGTGCTTGTGTGTGGTGTGCTGGGCGTGGCGTGGCGTGGCGTGCCGTGTTAACAATTTCCAAGTTATATCATGGCTTCAAATCGCGGTTGAAGAATCAGGTTGGTTTAACGCCTCACGCAGCAATATTCCAGCTTCATGAAGGCGGTCTGAAAATAAACGAGTCTGGACCAGACAATTCCGTGATTGACATCATGAGCATCGATCCACGCAAATGGGACCGATGACATGCATCAACCAAGTCAGCGAGCCAGAAGAATCAGGAATCCCCACAAGGGTTTGTGTAAATTGAGATAGATTTTGATATAATACTCAATTTCGGAAGAAACACACACCCTAAAGTATGAGATATTCGAAAACGTGATGAATTACTTAAATTTTTGCTAAGCTACACACATTCAGTTGAGACAATTACATTTGATTGTTTAATGCCGTAAAACGTATTTTAGTTATGTGACGAGGACCTGTAAACAATTGAGGACTTGACCAGGAAACCAGTGATCGTTATTGCGAACAACGTCCCACGCCGTCTGGGTAGTGGGACGATAACACGCAATCAACCGATACACCTGATTGGTCTATTCTAACCCGGAATTTGATGAAATGATTTCTAAGTGAACATTTTTTCAATCTCACCGGTATCTGGCACACCTTCCCCATCCCAAAAAGCCACAAATTGTGGTATATCTTTGAGAATACTTTGTATATTTCCATATTCTGCAATAAAAATGTCAATTCAATTCAAGTAATACCATACACACAAAATAATTAGCCTATAAGATGTTTTACTGGATTTATTTAAGGCCCATCCTCCCTTTGATGTGTGGTGGAGTGTCCACGGCTTTACAGGTGAAAGTTGCGGTTACATGTACCTGATTTTGTCATTTGTGACTACAAAACAAGTTCGAGGAAATCGAAAATTAGAATTCGACTGATCAGAGATCAAATAATGACAAAGGATTGAAGGATTTCAGCTTAACTGAACAGACAATTATTTCGGTATAACAGAGTTAGACACAACAAAACTAAATAACCAACAGTGGCCTTACGGTTCTTTCCTCGAGACACGCTCCGTTATTTTGCACTCAACACAGTGGCAGACCCAGACTGAAAGGAAATACGATGTTGTATTGGAGGGTTCATGTGTGAAATTTGTGGACATGTTTCATGAACACAAAAAGCTCCAATTAATGCAATTGATGCTAGTAACATGATCGAGTCAGTTCAAAGCCAACTGTATCACGAATCACATACAATTCAAACGTGAGCATCATGAAAGAAGGCGTAACCTTCAACAAATGTATGTCCTTTCTTCAGCCCCTCTCGAAATCCACGCCCGTGCGCCCTGCGTAAGGTCAAGGTAGTTTGTTGCTATGTTAATGACACATATGCTATCAATATTTCAATCATGTGTGTAGTTGTATTCCATAACCCTTCACCTTAAGTATCCAAACATGTTTCGTTACGCATATCCTAAACATATATACAACACAACACAACACACAACAACCCAAACCGTAAGGATATTGATTTTCATTGAGATTTATATCTTGGCTTTCGGGTTATGAATAAACGCAATGCATTGATAAATAGATCAGCCGTCCAGTAACATTGCCCTGATCTTACCCATCATTAGACAAACGACATCCATATTAAAACCAAACAAAACATTCATATCATGAAACTTTACACCCAATACATTATGAATTAAGAATATGATTAATAAACCCTACTGGATGAATAGACTGAATGACTGAATGGACTTAGCATAACTCACTCACTGACTCCACCAGTCCAAGACAGATGAGGACCACACATAGTTTCAGTACAGCTGCCATGGTTGTTTTGCCTCTGTGGTCAACACCAGACTGATGTATGTGAGGGCCGCCTCAAACGTTTAACGAGTTGTAACATCCGCTTGCTATGTAAAGTAAACATGGCCAAACTCCTTAGACTGCTCCTCACACCTCATATACACCTGCATTGTGAATACACATTTTATGGCGCGAGGATATCTATATTTAGAAAACATGTCATTGTAACCTTGAAGTAAATGTAAACAGTTTCTTCGGTTTCGGCCTCGCTCTTTAAACAGTCACATTTTCTAGCATGTGTGTTACGTAGATTGTCATGTGTATTTATGTACAATAACACTAAGTTATATAGTATATAAATCACAAATCACAGACAATTCAGTGATTGACATCATGAGCATCGATCCACGCAAATGGGACCGATGACATGCATCAACCAAGTCAGCGAGCCAGAAGAATCAGGAATCCCCACAAGGGTTTGTGTAAATTGAGATATATTTTGATATAGTACTCAGTTTCGGAAGACACAGACCCTAATGTATGAGATATTCGAAAACGAAAAGATATTTTACAAATAGTTTTCGAACATTTCTTACTTAAGAATGTGTAACTCTTTTGGAAATCAGTATAAATTACATAATTTATACAAATAGAAAAACACTCGTTTGTACGTTTGATCTGTATGTGCCATGACACATGATAGTGTACCGCCATTCATTCAAGTAACAGGGCTCCAACTGTAGTTCAAACCCCATATTCAGCTATGTGAGCATTAAAATCACGTCTGAGTGTGTGAGTTAGAAATAGAGCCTACTGGCCCACTTTAAAATACTAAACTTCAGTGTCCCCGATTTAAAATGTGATCTCTCAAATTTAAAAGTGGCCGGTGTACGGTTCAGTATCAAAAATAACATTCCATTGCCAATGACCGCCATCATATAGTTGGAATAGTGCTGAGTGTGGCGTTAAACAAGGAACCGACTTAAATCAGGTTGGTACTTCACGACACTACAATCCCCTTAATATAAATCATGATATATCTGCACATAATTAAAATTAAGGTAGCAAAGCCTAATAGGCCATTTTGAATAATGGATTAAGCTTTTAGTGGAGATCTTTCATACTATTTGCATTGTTATTTACTATCCAACAGCCAAATTAGAGGCGACCTTGTCGAGACGGGTAATACCCGTACGTGAACATACACGTGTTGTTGTATACAGAAATTAGACAAACACACGATATAAACGTGACACTGCAGTTTTTTAATGGAAAACTAGAAAAACTATATGCTGTTTAACCATTAGAGATAAAAATATTGAGAAAAAAACACAAGTCTTCTACTTTGGGTGACAGTACTTGTTGGTAATAAATTGTTTCTCTGATGTGAACACTGTGGAATAATTTTCACAAAATCGTTGTCTGAACGACCATTTCATAATTATATATATAAATGTTTTTTGTTTTTTTAATACTATACTATACTACAACTTTGATGTATATCTTGTAGAGAATGTAAGTGACAGGGCAAGGCAGGGTGTATTCACGATCCGGTTCAGTATGGCTTTGATTCCAGAAGATTCAGTTCACCTTGGAATTGGGCCCTTCGGACACCTGCAGCCGCGTCGACAAGACACGAACCTATCCACGTAACCAATGGTATAGCCAGTGCAAGTTCTCCTATAGCCGGTTCTGTAGGATGAATAAATCAAAATGTATGAGATGTTTTCTACACGATTTTACATATTCCGAGTTGGAATTATGAACATATGACGCAATCGATGGCATGATTCATAAGTGAATATTATTAATCAAACGGGCAATTAAATAACACGTGATGAATTACTTAAATATTTGCTAAGCTACACACATTCAGTTGAGACAATTACATTTGATTGTTTAATGCCGTAAAACGTATTTTAGTTATGTGACGAGGACCTGTAAACAATTGAGGACTTGACCAGGAAACCAGTGATCGTTATTGCGAACAACGTCCCACGCCGTCTGGGTAGTGGGACAATACACCTGATTGGTCTATTCTAACCCGGAATTTGATGAAATGATTTCTAAGTGAACATTTTTTCAATCTCACCGGTATCTGGCACACCTTCCCCATCCCAAAAAGCCACAAATTGTGGTATATCTTTGAGAATACTTTGTGTATTTCCATATTCTGCAATAAAAATGTCAATTCAATTCAAGTAATACCATACACACAAAATAATTAGCCTATAAGATGTTTTACTGGATTTATTTAAGGCCCATCCTCCCTTTGATGTGTGGTGGAGTGTCCACGGCTTTACAGGTGAAAGTTGCGGTTACATGTTCCTGATTTTGTCATTTGGGACTACAAAACAAGTTCGAGGAAATCGAAAATTCGAAACTGATTAGAGAACAAATAATGACAAAGGATTGAAGGAATTCAGCTGAATTGAACAGACAACTAATTCGGCATAACAGAGTTAGACACAACAAAAATGAATAAATAATCAACCATGGCCTTACGGTTTCCTGACCGAGACATGCTTCATTATTTTGCACTTGTCACAGGGGCAGTCCCCGACTGAAAGGAAATAAGATACTGTTCACGTTTGCACACCCAAAGGAACACAACGAAACAAAAACAAATCAACATATGCGCAATCGCACAAACTTCATTAAAAAATAGGTTTTCACCCCTCTTGAAATACAGCAGCCTGACACAAAACCCTGCATCCATTCTAGATATGTTCATGTTTTATGAGATTCTATTAATTCAAACATATAGCGAATTGTGTCGTGAGTGTCACGATATCTGAGGAAACACACATATTTCTGGCATATCAGATTTTAGCAGTCAAACAGCCATGGAGGGTTCTTGTGTGAAATTTGTGGACATGTTTCATGAACACAAAAAGTTCAAAACCAACTGTATCACAAATCACTTACAATTCAAACGTGAGCATAATGAAAGAAGGTGAAACCCTCAACACATGTTTGTCCTTTCTTCAGCCCCTCTCGAAATCCACGTCCAAGCGCTCCCCGTAACGTGGAGGCAGTTTGTTGCCATGTAAATAACACATATGCTATCAATATTTCAATCACAAAACTTGTGTAGTTTTATTCAAAGACCCTTCCCCTTAAGTTTCCAAACTTGTTTCGTTACGCATATGCTTATCATATACACAATACAAGAAAACAAAACACAACACAACACAACATATAACTTTAGGGTCACTGGTATTTTTCATTGATATTGATATCTTGGCTTTGAATATATGCAATGTATCGAGAAATAGATCAGTCGTTAATCCCTTACAGGATATATAAATATGGCTGAAAGGTGCCAAAGTATCTATTTTAAGGAAGAGTCTTTGACCCAAGTTGTGTATCGTAGAGTCTGTCGGTAAAGGCAGCACACACTTTTGGCAAAACCTCTTCTTTTTCACGAAAGTTAAACACTTCGCATTTGTCGCTCATTTTAGTCAAATGAATGCATGTTATCTCATCATCCCAAAAGTTAAAACACTGATAGTTTTTTCATAATTATCGTGTCAAAAGGTCCAAAACTTTCAGTAAAATCGACGGTCAAATGAACGTGTCCGATAGGTTTTTTACGTCAAAGAATAACATGTCCACAACAGTGTCATTGCCCTTATCCAGCATTAGACTAACGACATTGATGTTAAAAAACATTCATTTCATGAAACTTTACACTAAATACCTCATGAATTCAGAATATGATTAATAAACTTTACTGACTCTGAATTGGCGAAGCCTGTCTTACCGAATGACTCCACCAGTCCAAGACAGATGAGGACCACACACAGTTTCAGTACAGCTGCCATGGTTGAGTTTGCCTCCGTGGTCAACACCCGACTGATGTATTTGAAGGCCGCCTCAAATGTTTAACCAGTCGTAACA